CGATACCCAAGATAAGTTGTGTCCTTGGACCCAAACATGCATTTTGACCGCTTCAGCTTTAAACTAACATCGTGTAACCGATCCAACACTTTACAAACATCATGAACGTGCTCCTCCTACGTCCCCTCTGAGTGGATTAAGACATCATCAATGAAGTCAGCAGTCACCTCCGGCATATAATATTAGAGCAAATAACATAGCTATCCACTATAAGACTATGATACGAGTGGATAAAGACATTGACATCTCTAAAAGGGAGGGTGAGTGTAATTATATATATTAAACATCCATGCATATATATTTCCTTTTGTGGAGCATCTATTAACCGATTGAAAAAGCTAAAGCCCTAGAAAAGAGAATCTTTTAAATAGGAAGAGTACTTGATATATATTAGTACAACACTTCTTGATTTATATACATATCTTATGATTGCACTTTGATCTCTTTTTGGTTCTAACAAAATATATCATTTTAAATATGGTTCATTTGCAATTAGGGGGTAATAATTAGTTGTACTAATAAAACATACTGTGAACAAACTTCTTAAAAAGGAGGGGAAGAACTTACTTGATAGTGGAGATGAAAGGCACACTAATAGCTTTGGGAATAATTAGACATATATCTTGCTCCTTGTTACACTCGCCATAATCTTGCAAATGCTCCTAGTGCGTTGGCCAGCTTGCTTCCAGCAGGAAGAGCTTCAACTAGGCTATCAAATTTGAAGTTGGACTTTACCCTGGAGGTTTACAAATGAAGGACACTATGCTTTCCTATTTAAGGAAAGAGGAATTGGTAGGTTACCCTATGGAGCAGGGATTGTTGAACCCAAATGGTGAGTATGATCTTGCTGATATCTACAAGAGCTGGAACCTTAGTCGCCACTGGATTATGTGGCGGCAGTTCTTGATGAATCTCATCTGTCATGGCTTCACTGCATATGGGTTTTATATGGCTACCATACGTTGGCCCCCTCAGTTATCCCCTCTGTTAACGGTAGCAGGTTACTTTGCGGCCTGGATCTTGTCAGGTCAGCTTTCTTTTCCTTCTTTTTTTCTGGAGATAACAAGAGCTCCATGCAGGATTTATGCTTTTTCAATTTGGTCGAAAGAAAATTATCACATACGGTTTTCTTGTTGGGGGCATCAGTGGTATTTTTTCCGCATTGATCACGAATCAGTGGGTGGTGCTTCTGCTGGTGGTGATATTATACTGTGGACTTTTCACTCCAGCAGCAATACCTTTGCCTGATGATTGGAACGACGGCGGCGGTTTGGTTGTGTTCATAATGGTCGGTTTCATGAGGTATATGGCTTACGTGGCCGGTATTGTGGCTGCCATCATTGCTCCACCAGTTGGATGGCAAGTTCAAGCCTTTGCACTTGTGGGATCAAGCGCTGCTATTGTCTATGCGATGCTGGTTCACTTCTACTTGTTGGAGTCCCCACTAGAAATTCTAGATGGTTATAATGCTTTAGCAACAATGGATATGGACCAGCTGCTTGCTATTCGACAAGAGAAGGCCATTGAAGCTTTGAGGGTGTTTGCGGAGGCCACAGGGAAGACTCTACCAGAAAATTTGAAGAGCCTCAGGAAAGTTAGTCCGTTGGTGTAATTGGCTTATGTGTGCCTGAACTTTAATATTTTGGTGCCTGAATTCTCATGAATGTAAAAAAATGTTGTGAGCTCTCACCTCGGTTCCACGCGAGTTTTTAAGCTCGTACACATGGTCACCGCTTAGTAATTCACATTTGTTTCGCTCTTTCTTTTTCATTCTGTTTTTAAAGTAGCTACATGATATCACACATAATGTTGTGGTCTCAGCATATGCCCCGAGAGGGCATCTGTTTTGGTTTGGAAACTTGGTCGAGGCTTGGAATCTTCGTAACTCAATAGAGAGCTGCGACGTGGAAGATTACACACAGAGATGCCGTGCACACAGGCACGGGAAAGCTTTTACCGGGCCACTTTACGAAACGTGGTGACATGGAACACCATGGGCGCAGGATATGCCCAAGTAGGGCATCTTGAAAACACCACCGAGCTCTTGCCGCAGTGGAACGAGGTGATCATCGGAACCATCGACTCCCCAATGCCCTGGAGCTCTTACATGGTATGGATCACGGGGTCTCTTCAAGGGATGCCGCTCGTGATCTGGACTAGCCTTCGGCTTCTTGAGCTGCCGTGAGCGCTGAGGGAAACCTGGCGAGCCAGGTGGAGATCTTCGTCGAGGGCAGGATCGCCACGGCACTACGCGACGAAGCGCAATGCGCCTTCCGCGATCCTCGATTCCGACAAGGTCACGCGCGATCGATCCATGAATCCATGAAGATCAATGAGAGCGAAAGAAAACCCAACAGGAGGAACTTATGTGATCCAGACGGGGTCAGTGGAGATGAGACCCACTGCGGGCCTGATGAGTCGTGCCGGAAGCTCTGGGAATTTCTCCATGAACTTGGGCTTTATCACCAGCCAGATATCTTGCTCCTTGTTACGCTCGCCGTAAAGCGCTCCTGCAAATGCTCCTCGTCCAGCGCGTTGGCCAGCAAGAAGAGATACTGCTTCTTCCGGCAACCTTGAAGTCCAGTAGACTTGGAACTTTACTTGACACCTGATTGCCCACTGTTGAAGGATATGGCTCACAAAATTACTGCAACATTGTTGAGCGAGACCGCCACCTCCGCGCCACTCTGTCTCATTCACGCCATGCTTCTACAGAAAAGAGAAGATTGTAAGAGTAAATTCGCAAAGAGAACTCTCCAGACTTCTCCACCACAAGAGAAAACATGTTTTTAAATGAATTCGTCGATCCTGACGGGATTTGGCAGCTGAAGTTGCAAGGTAAGAATATCTCCATTCCATTCTAAAGTAAGAAATCAAACATACGCTTGCTGCGAGCGAAGGGCCACTGTCTTCGTGAGTAGCTAGTTTGGTTGATCTACAATCTGCACATAAGCCATGAGAAAGTTGTGGTCTTTCTTACTTGAGAAAAAAATCTTCAACCTGGCACTGAACTGGAAAATTTCTCAAACTGGTAAGTTATTTTACCAACCAAGCCTGTGATGAATAAGTTTCGAGAAAAATATGAGATAAAGAAAAAGACTTGCGGCGGCTACTGATCATCCAGAGGGTCACTTCTCCCGGTGAAGAATACAGTTGGCCGACATGGCTGGCCCCTGGAATGGTTTGGCTGCTTTATATATCCCTGTTCATCTCCTGTTTCCTGTGTCCAGTTGTTCCACTGCCACTAAGATTGCATTGCGACCAAAAGGACGTCCTGCCAAGAGATCTGAGCGTTGGTTTCGCAGAGTCGTTTCTTCCTCTCAAGATTCTAAACGCAAGGAAGGTGCAAGAAGTTATCTTCACCGCTTCCATGCGCTCTCGAAAAGGTCCAAGGAAGACTGGCTGGAGAGGTTCTTTGTCTTCTCTCCACCGCCGGAGGCTATCGAAAAAGCTCATGGTCAACTTACCAAAACCGCGTGGTTTCTTTTTCATCTCCATCCACTTCACCGAAGCTTTGTGTTCCCTCGTCCTCGTCCTCATTCACCTCACTTCTCAATTTCAAAGCTTCACCTCTACCCTCCCGTCCTCGTCCTCCTCACATCTTCTTTTTCCTTTCTACCATTCTCGTGTGAGATCCTGGCGAAAAAAACTCGTCAGGTACTTCCCCGGGTTTATAGTTGTATGGCCCCCAGAAGAATTTTATGTTTATCGTAGATCCAGTTGATGAGTAGGTTGTCCTGTAACGCATTTAGGAGCAGAATATGCACCATTTTCCCCAGCTCGGCAGGCATCGTTCTTCTTAGCGGTAGTTTTATGAAAGAGTTGAGCGAGAGTTGTTTATCCACCTTCATGTAATCTTTCATGCATATCGCAAGGCATACGAGTTTTAAAACATTAAATAAGAGTTGAGGCACACCTCGTACAGCCATTGCGAGGATGCTGAGGAGACAACTCGTTCTCTTAGATCTTCTGCCAGACATCTTCTTCACCGGCGAGCAGAAGGGAGACTTTGTGCGGGGACCTCTTGTGGATCATGTTGCTCTTGGCTAGGCTTATCAGGAGGAGGTCCAGTTTGATGATGGCTGTTTTCCTGGATCCATATGGAGTAGAATTCTCATGGTTAGAGTAAAGCAAAAGCATAAAGAAATATCTCCAACCCACCCGACTCCATGGTGCGCTCTGCACGTAGAAAAAAACCAAAAGCATCAATCAAACAGTCGCGAGCTGCTGCTCTAGTTTTAAACATCGTTACTTCTTCGTTGTGTTCGATGCTTATGGTACCATCCATACCAGTATTTTCTTCATTTCCTCTTTGATGTGGGACGCTGTGAGCTGCATGAAAGAAAAAACGAACTTAATATATTTATCAATAAGCAGCTTTCCTTGCCTCTTCTTAAATGTGTTAACAGCCGCGTAGAGGGCACTCCTCAAGGAGATTTTGGTAGACCTTGATACGGATTCCCATTCCATGCCCGCAAATGCAAATATGTACAGCTGCTCTTGAATTGGATCCAAGAGTGTTAAGGCAGCAAATGGCAATTGTCTTCTATGAGATACATTGATTTTATTAAGAGTTATTATTCCTTTACTACTTGCTTAGCTTGATGATCTTCATCTTTTCTTCGGTGGGCATCAAAGTTCTAGAGAGTTCCCAGAGTAACAATAGTAACAAGTTATGAAACTAGTTTACTTCCAGAAATAGGAAATTCTTAATTGTTCTCGGAGAGGGATAAGTTGACATCACAAACTTGACTTGACCAGACCAATGGTAACACACTATCTTCATACGGTTTGTCTATTTATTCTCGCACGAGTCGCCCCACCTATCTTCATACGGTTTGTCTATTTATTCTCACCTACAGGCTGCTGGATTTTCTGCCCCAGATCCAGCTTGGGGCTCGAGCAGATTTACGAATCAATAGGTGAATCGGCACATACAGTAAGGCAAGTGAGGATGAAGTCGCTAAAACGCCTGGAATATTTTTCTGTTTTATGATATATTAGTTAGAAAAATCTGGTTTTATAAATTGTTATTTTATAGCAGCCCGAGATAACATGTCAGCCATAATCCTATGATAATGCTCGTTGTTGCAAAATGATGGAAAGTCAATGCTATTTGAGACAAACTTCCTCATGGCAAAATTTAGAGTTCCCAAGTGACTGCACGAAGTGAAAAACCCAGTAAAAGTTGCAGCATCAGGATCGAAACCATATATCAATAGCTCCCGGAAGATTTCAGCACAAAGAGATGCAAAATCTGGAACTCGGGAGCAAGCACACACAAGTGCGTTCCACGATGCCAAATTCTTCTCGGGCATGGTTAAGAATACCTCTATTGCATGCTGGAAAAATCCATTATAAGAGTAAGCCGAGAGTAGCGCATTCCAGGAAGCAATATCTTTCCCAGGCATTGTCTGAAAGATCTCTCGAGCAAATTCAACATCCCCGAGCCTGCCAAAACCGGACAAGACAGTGTTCCAAGAGATGATATCTTGGTCGGGCATTTGAAAGCATAGGATAGCTCTTGCATCTTCAACCTTTCCAGCGTTTGCATAAGCTCCAAGCAACATGTTCCACAGAAAGATGGTCTTGAAAGGTGGCCGTGTGGAATCAAAGGCACACTTGATCTCTTCCAGAGTAGCATTTTGTGCTATAAGTCCCTGTAGCACTGCTCCATACGAGAAAGCATTCTTTTCCGGCATGGAGTTGAGTAACTCTCGAGCCGACTCTCTCGGGAGAAAAGTGAGAGCCACCGTCGAGGAGACCACATTGTGCCTAGGCATTCTCTGGAAAAACAAATCTTTGGCCTGCTCAATAAGGTCGTTGTCTCTTAATCCTGCGAGAAGTGCCGTCCATGAGATCATGTTCGCAAATGGCAGAGATCGAAATGCTTTTTCAGCTTCTTCCATCTCGCCAGCTTCGCCATAAGCCTGAATGATCGAATTCCAGGCAGCCAAGTTCCAAACTGGCATCCTGTTTAGGAGAAATTTCGCCTGATCGAAATGCCCAATCTGAGCATATCCTGCTACCATTGTCACCCACGAAACAATGTCCTTTTCCACCATATAGTCAAACACACTTTCACAAATTTCATGTTTACCTTGGCAAATGTAGGTTGATAGAGTAGAATTCCAAGTTACAATATCCCATTCTGGCATCACTGCTCGAGTCTTCTGAAATTCATGCAAATCATGGGCATAAGCAGAAAGAAGAATGTTCCACGACTTTACGTTCCAAAGTGGCATTTTCTTAAAGACCTCTTGTGCCCGAGCAGCATCGACGACTTGCGAGAAACCGAGAAGGATAGAGTTCCAAGAGATGAGGTCTTTACTTTCCCACGGCATTTCGTCAAACAGCCATTCCATCTTTACCACCATTCCGAGATGCGCATACGTTTGGAGAAGAGCATTCCAAGAATAAGAGTTATGTTCCGGCATGCCGCAATCAAACAATGTTCTCGCCATGTCAACATGCCCAAAACGGGCATATGCCGTCACCATTGCCGTCCAAGACACTATATCTCGCTCGTCCATCTTATCAAAAACCATTTGAGCAGATTCCAATGAACCGAATTGAGAGTAGGCAGTGATCATAACATTCCAACACACGAGATTACGTTCCGGAATCCTGTGATACATCTCTTCTGCCTTATCTAAATGCCCGCTATGGGCATATGCGGTTATCATGGCCGTCCATGAAACCACATTCCGTTTCGGCATGGAGTCAAACACGAGCTTGGCTTGGTCAACTCTGCGTCTCCTGCCATGGCTCGCGATCTGAGCCGTCAACGCCACGAGATTATTTTCCGAAAGGTTGGTGGCGATTTGCCGGTGGAATTCGCAAATGCCGCTACTCCACGTTGGGTCGGTTTTGATCATATGACTTTGTGAAATCTTTTAAAATAGAAAAGGTCGTGTTGCTTTCGATCGATCCAAACAGGCAAAGACACCCGCAGAGAAGAAAAATCTACAAAGCATGTGAGATCGATCGATCAATCGATGGATGGATTGATGGATCAGCACCTGGATGGGAAATTCAAAGCCCGAGAAGAAGTAAAAAAGAAAGAAGGCCAGAAAGAAAATCTTGTTAACTTTGAAGAGGATAGAGAGTCTTCCAGGCAGGCCTGTACGTAGCTAAAGACGTAGGCTTGCCTGGCATTCCATAGTTTAGGGTTCTTCCAGGACTGACACTGAGAGTAAACAAACCAGTCATATCACACACTCGAGCTCGAAAGAGAAAGAAAATTTTCATGACTTGACTACAAATTCAAAAATCACACTTTGAGCGAAAGTTGGAGTGATGATCTTGTCCAAAAACTATCGTCTTACTGGAGTGGATCGCTCGTTTTTTATTCTTTGACACAATCCTCGATTCTTTCCATTCACACCACACATAGACTATAACTTCTTTGTATTCATCTAAGTTTCCTATCCAACAACGATGATCTTCCCACTCGCCAATGCATTTGAGATTGGATTGGATGGATCAGTTCTTGGCATCGATCGAGGCGGTGAGATTGAGCGCCTTGGACAGCAGCTCCGACACCTTGGCGGCCTGGCGATCGATGCGCACCACCGCCTTCTTGGTCTGCGCCGACTCGTCGGTGATCTCGTCGTGCAATCCATCCGTGCACGTCGTGATGTCGGTGAGCGCCGCGCTGAGATTCGTGCGCAGTAGCTCCATCTCCTCCTCCTCCGCGCCGCTGCCGCTTCCGCTGCTACTCTCATTGCCGCTCTTGTTCTTGGCGCCGTGGAGCTTGACGAGAATGGTCATGGAATCGTCCAGCACCTCCTTGGAGTCCTCCGTGAGATCCATGCAATCCGAGAGGAGCGCTTGGGTCTTGGAATCGCTGAGGTGGTCGTCGCGCTGGTATTTCTTCACTGTGATTCGCAGCTTGGAGATGGCCACGCTGCTGGAAACCATCACCTTTCGCAGCCCCTTGGCGTCCGGCGGCGCCGCTTGATCGTTATCGCCGCCGCCATCGTCCCCAGCGGCCACCAGAGTGGAGCTAGAGCACAAGAGCAGCGCCACCGCCGCTGGAAACACGAACCAGATCGAGATTTTTGGCTGCATTGTGTGCCTATCCCTGTCTATCCTATCGAGCGATCGATCGCTCGCTCGCCAAGACCACCACCCTGCTTGAGAAATCGAGTTCACACCTTAGAGATACCGCCGCTTTTCAAGGATCTGGGAGAGTTTGTTCCAAAGACCACTACTTGTTCGCTTCCAAAGCGATCTACATAGAATCAAAGCTCGTAAGCTTCAAGCTTGGATCGATTGGAATGGATGGATGCGTAGAATGAGTGGACCACTCAACCAAGACTCGCCGAGATCGATCTCCCTCACTCGCTCCTTTTCTTGTTTGTCTCTCGCTTTTGGTTCTCGCCAAGGAGGAAGACGAAGAAGAAGAAGAAGGGAAAGGTCTTCTCGAACAACAAAACCACGCCCTCTGGCCACAATGTGGTGTGTACAAACGGACCCACTTCCCAACAAACACGCTCCAGTGGATCCCAGCCGTTGGATCGCCAGGCATGGGAGCTTCTCCCCAAAGTTACTCTGGCTGGAGCGAAATAAAAAAGGTTGAAAGTTTCAGGGGTGAAAAGTTTGCCTTCGTTTCGTTGCCTTTGGTTGCTTGCATGGTTCCTTACTTCCGTTGCAACCACTACTACTATGATAGGGAAGAAAGGTAAGAAAAATGTGATAAGGTGGTGGTGGTAATAATGTTAAAATCTTGCAAGTATGCGATTCCCATCCAGCCATTATAGTTCGTTGGTGGTGGGAGGCTAGTGGGTCTTAAAATTGTTTGGACAGGTCCAAGGTTTGGAACGTGATAGATTGAGTGACAATCTCGTACGGTTCTAACAGAAGCACGCTGTACGGGACCACCTCACAAACAAACGTGGATTAGCATTGACACTGGATTAGTGGAAAGCGTTTTGCAAGTGGCCACGTAGCATCAACACGTGCCGAGCATGCACAGGCGCCACCATAGCTGCCTTCTCTTCGTTTTCTTCATCGCTATCTCTTCTCCATACCTGGGAGGAACATCACCAAGTGGAAGTAGCGCGCGCGCGAGAGAGAGAGAGAGAGAGACGATCAAGGGAGCGTCGAGCGTGGAGAAATTTACCTCTTCAAGGCGAGTTTCGATTTTTTTTTCTGTGTAGCAAGCTATGTCTTCCGCCGGAGGTGAGGAGCGTCAATCCTATGCTGCCGCTGCCAAGAAGCCAGCCAAATTCGAGGATAGTGATAGCCTTGCCTCCGACATAGCCAAGAGGAAGACTGGAGATCCGGGAGCTTACGAGCGAGTGTCGTCGACGAAAGGTCCCAGCTACGAATCCTCGTTGCCAGAGGTTAGTTTTGGATAGTTTTCCTTCCCTGTTCTTGGTTGGGAAAGTGATCGATTCCTCTGTCCCCTTATCTTCCAGGATAAAGAACCTGCTGCCAAAGAACCCCCCTCCGCTGACAAGCTCAAGAAGCCACTGATCATTACTGGCGTTGTTCTCGCTCTAGTGGGTGCGTTCATTGCGCTGGTTGTCAAGTCCTCCAAGGATGAAACCAGCAGCAGCACTAACAGTGACACTAGCCGAGTCGATTGATTTTTAAATGGATGATGTCCTCTCTGCATCACCTTAAGCTGTGTACAAAGTTGCCTTCGCTCTGACAGCATCCAGTATGTCACTCGATTGCTGTCGGCCATGCCCGACTTCCCAGTATCATACTTTCATGTTCTGTTTTCTTCGCATTCCATTTCGTCTTCCTCTACAGTAATATAAGTTAGTGCGCCATCGAAAACTCGTCAGACTAGCTACTTACCTCCACTCCAAGCGCTCCCAGCGCGACTGGTTAAATCCAACTGTAAGACTCAAAGTTAGTTTCTAAGAACTACAAACCGTAGTAGAATACACACCTGTTTGTTCAAACTGTAGAAAAGAAAAGTCTGTCCTGACCACCACCGTGTCCGTGCGTGGCTTGAATGCGCGTTTCCAGAAAGATTTCCATACAAAGGCCCGTGCCAGATGGGACGATCTAAAAAGTCAGAAAAATGAAAAGACACAAATCCACAAAAAGCCATGGCAGAAGCGGGAACCTTGCAATGGCAGAAGCGGGAACCTTGCAAAAGCCTGCTAGAAGAGCTGAAAATTCTGGTATTTCGTGACTAACCTTGGTACACTACCCGACCGTTGTCTCCAGTAGGAGCCGTCCGAGCGAAAGGCCGGCTTTCATGCCATCAACAGCGGCACTCACAATCCCACCGGCATAGCCAGCGCCTTCACCAACTGGATACAGCCCTTGTATAGAGACGCTCTCGCAAGTCTCTGCATGTCGCTCTATCCTTACGGGCGAGCTCGTCCTTGTCTGCAATAACAAAGTATTATTACTTTCGAGGACGTGCGTTTTCAAAGAAAAGCTACTTACCTCCACTCCATGAAGAAGCGCCCGGCTGTCGATAAAGCCATGCAGCTGCAAGAGTCGTAGACTCGTGTCAGTACCAAAACTCGAAAGACCAACCAAGCGGAGAAATGTAGCGAAGAACCTGTTGGTTGAACTTTTCAGTCGCGTTCTTTAAAACCGCTGTCAAATATCCAGGGAGCAGCTCGTGGAGGGGAGCTTCTCGAACGCCTAGTCTATAGCTGGACGTTGGAAGCTCGTTGCCTGCAAAGAATAGATGTAAAAGTAACGCTTGTTGTAGTTTTAGTACCTGCAATCTTATCATCCAGGAAATCTTTCAATGTCTGAGCAGGCACAACAAAATCTCCACCTCCTAGGAGTGCTGCATCCCTCTCTATCGCTCTCTGCGGTTTGGAATCTAGATACAAAGCCTTATAGGTAATGTCACGCTACCTGAAATGCAACACCAGCAAGAGACCCATGCCCGTCCCTGAAAGGCTCCACATCTTTTGACGTTACGTTGACGACGAGAGCGGCATTTGCCCACTTGGATGCACGTTTCGAGAAGGACATCCCGTTAATACAAAGATGCAGCGGGTCCGTGCTAGTTGGAACGATCTGGAGAGAACAAAAGGTGAGAAGCGAAAGCAGGGAAAATCAAAGCTCAACCTGGCCACCGGGACACATGCAAAAAGAGTAGCACGAGCGGAGCTCGTCGGAATTTATCGAAGCAGCAACCTTGTAGTCGGCCACAGGGACTTTTCCTTTGCCCCTTTGAACTTGAGATGCCCATGCACGATACTGTGATAAAGGTTGTTTTGTTTAGAAAGTAAATGGCTCATGTTATTGTTTTCTTTACCCGCATTTGGTTTACCAGCTCCTGGGGATGTTCAACACGCAAACCAACCTGTTACATAAAAAACCACTGCGTCAATCGCATCGAGACAAAAATAAAAAAGGATTGCAAGAAACACGCGGCTTACAGCAAAATCTTTGGCAGACAGCAACACGCCATGAGATAATAGCATCTCATACGTGTTCCGGGCGGAATGGCCGACAGCAAGAACAAGAGCATCGCAACTAAGAGTTGCCGTCGTAGTTTTCTCCAAGTCGGTGACTTGTATACCACTCACCCGACCATTTCGTATCACAATATCTTCCATTCTAGTTCCAAACATTAGCTCAACCTGCATTGATGTGATAAAAGACGCATACAATGAACCAAGCTTACCCCCAGTGTCTTCAAGTGATTACGAAGGCCACGGAGAATGTGGACAAGCTTATCAGTTCCGATGTGCGGTTTTCCTTCAACGAGTATCCCATCTGATGCTCCAAAGCGAACAAGTGTTTTGAGCACCTGTCATGTCCATGAATAAGAAAGGAAGAAGGGAGAAAGAGAAATAGTCATTACCGTCTGAACGTCTTCACTGTTTTTTCCAATCCTTGTTGTAAGCTTTCCATCACTCCACGTACCTGCGCCTCCCTAAAGTTTATACTGCGTCCATCATCAAGAAACCACGATAAAGATGATTTATACCTCTCCGTAGCAAAAATTGCTGTCTTCCTTTAAAATGCGCCTCACCATGAGGCTTCCAATGTGCCGGCCTCGGGTCTCCACCGGGTAACCTCTCTCCACCAATGTCACTTGCACTCCCATTTCAGCCAGTGCCAGTGCCGCAAAAAGACCGGCTGGTCCACTTCCAACGACCAAAACTCTTGTTTTAGAGCTCGGACAGTGGTGAGATGGAAAACCTTTCCCACCAAGTTGAGCCATCTCCACCAAGTCCATTGCAGCTGCTCCACGTTTGAGAAACTCCACGACACCGGGATCCTGCTTCATCCTTGACAGGAAACTCCAGCTTCTAGGCTGCTCGGACACCAATCTGGTGACATTCAAGTCTACAGTGTACACAAATCTCGGCTCCTACAGATAACAGCAAATCCAAAAGGTAAACATTAGGCAAAAAGCTAGAATAAACAATTACCTTGCGTGCGTCGAAAGACTTGCGCACTACTGACAGTGCATCCCGGGACAAATGGGCTGACTGACAATATAATCAATCACAAAAAAAAAAAAAATGAAAAGAAAAAATCAGCAGAGAGAAAGAAGAAGGAAAGAATATAAAAAGGAAGAAAGAAATCAGCAGTTACCTTGCAACCAATGCGTTTGCTAAGAACTTGAAGAAGGCCTGGAGAAATATCATAGCAGTCCTTCCCGGGATCATTCTCCACAGCCACCTCCAATCTGGAAAACCTCCAGACCCCAAGCTTGGAGTTCTTCACGCTGCCTGTAACCACACTCGAGAGAAAAGTGTGCTGTTGCAAGGAGCAAGAAACACCCAAGAGCAGCACCATAGGATTCTATCTACAAACCCAACACCAGGATAGTATTTTCCAAGGATTTCATTGATGCGAGAAGACCACAGCCAAGGCAACGCTGCAGCATAGACAATACATAGGAACCAGGCACACACACCATACCATGCCAGGCAGTAAAAGGATATGAGCCCACCCTAGCCTGTTCTAAGGATAATGTGAGCTCCACTGTCAGAGTCGACAATGCCGCTCAATTCTCCCACCTTGAGACTATACGTGGCCTCCTCGAAAGATTTTTGCATCTGTCCTCGACCAAACCATCCTGGAATCGAGAAGAAACCAATCAATCCATTGTATCACGAAGAACAATGAGGTAAAAAGCGCTAACCGAGATCGCCGCCACGCTTGGCCGACGAGCAATCCGAGAGCTGCGTCGCAAGATCGCTGAATTTGGCGCGGCCGCTGAGAATTTCGTCGCGGATGTGCTCGAGCTTGGCGACCGCCTGCTCGTGCGTCGTGTTCTGGATCACCAGGCCCTCGGGATCGCGCCACGACGCCGGGCGCCGCGATCCCTGATGCTTCACCAGCAAGTGGCTCGCGCGGACCTTGCCGCCGCTACCGCCATCGCGCTCCATCCCTGCGCCTCGCGATCGATCACACAGCCACAGGCACGAATGAAAACCCTAGCGCCGAGAACACAACGATGATTCTTAGTGCCACTGCTCCTAGTACCTCGAGGAGCGATATTTCGAGCGATATTTCGCCATGGCGATCGATCGAGGAGGAGCACGATGCCGTGGTCAGCTGGACCAGGAAGATCGCCGCCGCCGCGACGATCTCGCCAAGCGCCGGGATCACGCTCTTCCAGCAAATGCAGCACTGCGGGATCAAGCCCGACAAGGTGACCTTCCTCACACTGCTCAACCTGTGCGCCAAGCCGGGCGGCCTGGATCACGGCCGCGCGATCCACCGCCTCCTCCTCCTCCACATCGCCGCCACGGATCGCGACCTCGACCTCCCGCTCGCCAACGCCGCCGCCGACATGTACTGCAAGAATGGCCGCCTCGACGAGGGCCGCCGCGTCTTCGAGGCTCTCAAGCACCGCGGCGATGTTATCTCCTGGAACGCGATGATCACCGCCTATGCCCAGCACGGGCATCCCCGGGAAGCTCTCCATCTCTTCCACGCCATGGAGCTCCACGGCATCGCCCCGGACGCTGTCACTTACACGCTCCTCCTCAGTAGCACCATCGCCAGCCAAGATCTTCGCTCCAGCTCCAAAGCCACCTCCGTGGAGTTCTTCCACGATCGGATCCGCCGGGATGGACTGGAGCTCGACTTGATCGTTGGAACCGGGCTCGTCAACCTGTATGCCCACCTTGGGCATATGAGCGCGGCCGCCGCCATCTTTGCCAAGCTCGTTGGATCTTCCTCCTCCGGCGGTGGAGACGTGGTTCTCTGGACGACCATGATCGGAGTTTACGCCCAGCGTGGCGAGACGAGCGCTTCTCTCCACCACTTTCGGACGATGCAGCTCCACGGCGTGAGGCCCAACCGAGTAACTTTCATCACCGTCTTGACTGCCTGTTCTTCCCCTGCGTGGTTACCAGTCGGAATCTGGATCCATCGCCACCAACACCACCGCCGGCAATCCTCTCGGCTCGAGACCAGCATGGGAAACGCGCTGATGAGCATGTATATCAAGTGTGGCGAGCTGCGAGCCGGGAAGAGAGTCTTCGACGAGATGGAGCGGCAGCGGGACGTAATCTCCTGGAACACCATCATCGCCGGGCATGCTGCCGAGGAGCAGCAGCAGCTTGTCAAGGCCTTTGAGATCCTGTGGGAGATGCTGCAAGACGGTGCCACCAAGCCGGACTGTATCACCATCGTGACGCTGCTCAACGCTTGCAACAAGCCAGCACTGCTCGAGCACGGGAAGTTCCTCCACTCGCTCGTCCCCGACTGTGGCATCACTGTGGATCCTGTGCTCTTCAACGCTCTCATCCATATGTACGCCAAGTGTGGGAGCTTGGAAGCAGCGTCGCAGATGTTCCAGCAGCAGCAGCGTCAGACCGAGGCCTCGGTGTGGGGAGCGATGATCATCGCATTGTCGCAGCAAGGACTTCACCGGCAAGCCATCCAACTCTTCCAGCGGATGCAGCAGGAGGGAGTGAAACCGGACAAAGTTGCCTTCACTGCTGCTCTCGATTCGGCTGCCACTGCTCTCGACGACTCCTCCGCGGCTTCCACTGCCAGAGGCTTCCACGCACAGGCTGTTGAGAGCGGTCTCTTGCAAGGCAACGCTGTCGTAGCCACCGCGTTGATAAATCTTCTCGGCAACACCGGAGCTATGACCGAAGCATACACCGTCTTCACCAACGTCGTCGAGCGGGACATCGTTTGCTGGAACGCGATGATGTCCGTCTATGCGCAGCACGGCCATACCACCCGAGCTCTCGACCTCTTCCAAGAGTTGCAGCACCAAGGCATGGATCCCAACGACGTCACCTTCGTCAGCTTGCTCTCCCTGTGCAGCCATGCCGGACTTTTGGACGTGGGAATCCAGTGCTTCCTGTCGATGACCATCGATCACAGCCTCCAGGTGCTCACCCCGGAGCTCACAGGCTGTGTCATTGATCTCTTTGCTCGAGTTGGAAGGCTGGCTGATGCGCACGACTTCATTGGGAGGATGCCGCGGGAGCAAGCTCGAGTCATCCAGTGGATGTCGCTGATGTGTGCTTCCAGAGTCCAAGGGGATTTGGAGCTAAGTGGCTGCGCTGCCAAGGAAGTCTTGGAGCTTGATCCTAGCAACCCAGCTGCGTATGTCGCATTGTCCAACCGGCAATCCACCTATGCTGTTCTAGCGACGACGTAAGTTTGTCTGATAAAAAAAGAAAAGAGAAGAGACTGGTCAGGTCAGGCAAAGAAAAAAATCCCAGAACTCTTACGTTTGTTCGCTCACAAGCTATTGTATAGTGTCTGTCAGACATGAAAAACTCCACGTCAGTGGCATAGGAGGAGAAGAACAAAATGTAGTTTACCGATTAAAAGATCATTCCTTGCGTGGGAAGAACGACGATCTTCCTTCTCGAACAACAATCTATCAGTCATTCACAAGAGAAGATAAACGATGGAATCTTACTTTAACACGGTCGATCGAGAATTCCTCTTTCCCCGCTTAACGACTAATCCAGTTGATAAGTTTAAATCCACAAGTTAATAAAAAAGCATACAGCGATTCCTTCTTTCCTTTTACGTTAGGCAGTCGAAGATCTTCGTGATCTTGACCGATTTCCTTTACATCGTCGACTGCTGGAACACTAAATCACTCCACTGAGGATTTCGCGGCAGAAACGTTTCCTGCCGATCGATTAAGCTACGAAAAGAAAGAACCCCAGGACAATCTCACCGAAATGTAGCTACAAGTCGGAATGACTCGAAATCCCTGCTTCCTGGCACAATCAAACGCGGCCTCGCACAGCTGCGCCGCGATCCCCTGCCCGCGCTTGCTCGGCGGGACATAGGTGTGCTCCAGATCGATCAGATCCGCCGATCCGTCCTTCTTCTTGCTGTAGCTGAGGTACGCGGCGCCATCGGGCGTCCGGAAGCGCAGGGCCGCCTCGTCCCACACCACCGCCATAGCGCCCACCTTAGAGCCCTAGAAAAGGAATATGCGCCAGCGGGGACGCATATTCCCGGCCCATTGCCTACGACTACTTAATTGTTAGGGTTTCGTGATATTTTGAGTCTTGCGAGTGAGAGATATGAGGGCGGCGGTGGCGGCGGCGGCTTAGGAGATGAGCTCTCGACGTTCTGCGAGCTAGGGTTTGATCGGGATCGATGAGTCCGTCCTCGCAGCTCACGGCGGCGACGGCCAACGGCACCGCGGCCGCCGTGAGGCCGGAGAAGAAGCAGCAGCTGGAGGCAGATCTTGCGACAATCGAGCAGCTGATAGCTCGAATCGCGCGGCTGGAAGATCTGGCGGCGGCGCGCAACAGCAGCGGCAGCAGCCGGAGCCAGCAGGAGGAGATTGTGGCGGAGGAGCGGCCCCAGCAGCAAGGGCAGCAGGCGGAGGAGCAGCATCCCTGGGATGAGGGCTCCGGCGAGAGGCAATCTTCGTCTCACGGAGGCGAGGACACAGGTAAGGGCGTGCCTCCCAGTGATGTAGCTTTTACCAAGGAGCGTAGTGCAGTTGGGGCTCGAATGACCGTTGCATCGAGCAGCTCGGACATCCGAGCGGCCGGGCACAAGAGAGGAGAAGGGGAGGCTACTGGGCCGGCCATGGCCAAGAAACCCAAGCTCTCGGAGGAGGAAGATCCGGTGAGCGAGGGGAGCTTGAGCCGGCGAGTCGGGGGTGATGCCGCCGACAACGGATCCAATCACACCATGTCCACTCTCCACTCGAGCGAAGAGACGAGCTCCCAGCGCAGGGACGACTACGAGCTACACAAAGACGCCTGGGACAAGGCTCTCCGCGTCCTGGAGGATCTTCGCAACTACAGCAAGGAGGGGTGGGTGTTTTGCCAGCCCGTCCAGTCGCTGTGGCCGGAGCTCGTGGATTACACCAAGGTGATTGAGAAGCCCATGGATCTGGGGACCGTCAAGAGCCGGGTGCAAAGCAAGTACTACTCGAGTCCCAAAGGTTTTGCCCGTGATGTGAGGCTCACTTTTGACAACGCCATCCGGTTCAACGCGGCGGGTTCTATGTATCACAAGCTCGCTCTGAAAATGCGGCAAAAGTTTGAGACGGCTTTTAAGGCGGTGGAGCGGCTTTACAACCGGCCACCCAAGCCGGCGGCCAAAAGTAAGATCAGGCCGCTTGTGGAGGTTGCTCCCCCGCCGCCGCGGCAGAAGATCGAGATGGTCGAGCAGAAACCCGTCGTGGCCCCGGTGGTGGAAGTAATCGACGTGAAGCAACCCGAGGTTCTGGAAGTGAAAGAACAGGTTGCTACTCCTGTGTCTCGAGCGAGGGATCTCGAATTTCCTGCGCCGAAGGCTAAGAAGGTGAAGCTCATGGGGACGAACCCCCGACTGGGACGGCAAGCCAACAGTCTGGCTTACGGTGGCTGCCGGCTCCTCAGCGCGAAAGAGAAGGCCAAGCTCTCGGAGCTTGTGGATTCGTTTCCGGAGGACAGGATGCGGAAGGTGATTGAGATAGTCGGGGAGAAGCATCCGGAATTGGTCGGTGCCCCGGAAGTGGAGCTGGACCTGGACAAGCTAGACAAGAACACGTTGTTCAATCTCTATCGGCTGGCGATGAACTGGCAGAAGAGCAAGAACAAGGTGCTGGCCAAGTCGAAGAGCTCGCTCACGGCAGAAGACTCCCTGAGTGATGGTCAGCAGCGGATGCTCATGGACAACAGCGACAACATCGACATCGTTGGCCTGGATTCTCCAGAGCGCGAGAATGGTGGCGAGGAGGAGGGCGAAGAAGCCGGAGAAAAGAAGACCGATGGTGGAGGAGATAAGGAAACGTCCAGTGACTCGGACTCCGAAACGGGAACAAGCTCCTCCAGCTCCGAGTCGTCCGGGTCCTCGTCGGATTCGGAGCTTGACTCGGAAGGGGAGGCCGAGGCAGGGTCGGACAAAGACAAAGGCTAGTAAGCTCGATCTCGATCCAAGGTTGGAGGCCAGGAGCAAAACAAGGCCCAAGAATGGATTGGACGGATGGAAGTGTACACTAGAAGCAAGCAAGCAAGCAGCACACTGGGAGAATAAGTCTTCATTGAGTTCTCTGGAAATGCGGCTAGGCAAGTTTGGCGGCGGCAACTTTTGCTAGCCGGGAGGATCCGTAGAGGGTCTCTTCGAAGCGGATGATCTCGGCCTTGGAACCGTAGGCGACCTGCGTCCTGTCGTCGGTGTTGACAACGAGCTTGTCGAGGACTGATTGGTGGCCATCGCTGCTGAATCCTCCGGCGTTTTCGATGAGGAGGCCGAGCGGCGCTACCTCGAAGAGCAGCCGGAGCTTGGCCTTGGTACTGGGTGAGGTAACATTGGTGAAGACTCCTTTCTCCTTGACGATGATCTGTGACAGACAGACGAAGAAGAAACAAGAGCTCTCGTATCGATCGATCAAATCAAGCTCGAGAACGATGAAAAGCTCTACCTGGTTTACGTCCGGCACCATTCCTCCTGTGTACCGCAGGGTGTATCTCTCCGTGACGTAGTAATTGATGAGCTGAGAAGAACACACCAACAAACAAACGATGAGCAAGTTTTAAGTTCTCTCTTTCGTACGAGGAAGAGTTCTCTCTGCCGTACCTTTTCGTACTGTGGATTGTCAAAGGTTGCCCGAAGGTTTCCTGGCGAGAAGAGTTTCCCTTCGCCAATGGAGGTTGTCTCCTTGACGTGTTGCCACTTCCCTGATATTGGGATGAATGTAAAGAAAAGTTCTAATTTAAAAAAGGTGGTGGAAGTTTTGCTACCATCGTCCAAGAGGAGGAACTCGTGGGTGCCCGGATGGCCCTTGATTGCCATGACGTAGGTGGTGCGAGGGCCGTAGATTCCCATGGCGGCCGCGACTTGATCGTTCCCGGTGACCCCGGTGAGTTTATCGCCCGGCCAAACTCCAAAGATGGTTCCCACGGTGAAATTCGTGTCGACAATGCTGGAGCCATCGAGTGGATCGAATGCGACGCTAAATCCTCCTGGAAGATCACAGATATAGATCACGCTAAAGTTAAGTTTGGAGAGAATTCCTCTATCAAAGTCCTCGGAAAGATCTAAAATACCTTCCACGGGTCCTCCCATGTCGAGGAGCTCGGGATCTTCCTCGGAGCAAGCGTATTTGCAAACGTGGGAGAACCTCAAGGCCTGGATTCACGAGGGGGGATCTTTGAGAATCTTTTCGGCATTGTCTGTCCGTACGAAACGCCTACCTCGAAGAGGAGCTTGTTGGCGAGGAGATCGACGGCCAGCTGCTCGTCGCCGAATGTGTTGACGCACGCCGTGGCACCGCACGATGCGGTCTTCACCTTGAACGAGATCGTACGGATGGCCTCTCCCATGCAAGTGAGCAGCCTCGCGAGGCTCTTGTCTTTGGTGGATGTGGCCAGGAATTCCTCCTGGGCGATCACGAATTCGTTCGCATTGGAGCTAGGGAGAGGGGATCTTTCGACTTCTTACCAGGGAATCGCCCAGCTCCGCGCGAGGAGCTCCCATTCTCACTCCTCTGCCGCTGCTGCTCGACGATCTAGACGACAGCGTCGCGTGGAAATTCGCAATGGAGCTCCCGCCAGACATGAATCCGCTGGACGACGCGCCCTGCAAGCGCAAGGATTCCACGATTGGATGGTCGGGACCTCACCGAATCTGTGGGACGAGTGATCAGTGTACCTACGAGCTTGGATGAATTGGAAATCGCAAAGAGGAGCGCTGGATTGACCCCATTTTGCTGCTGGGCCGCTGCCATGGTCGCCATTCTTGCTGCGCTCGTCGCTCCAACGATCGCCGCCATTGCCGATCAAGGGATCCTCCACCGCTCGCTTGCTCGATTGGATGGATAGAATGACCGTGGCTCAATAAGAGAGCCACGTCAGCAAATGTCCCGTTGGCTAAAAGCGATAAAAATCTGCCACGCAGGCAAAGGTTTTGGTGACGTGGCAGTTGCTAGGGTTTTTCCACTAATGGGATGGAAGAAGAATGCGATGGCGCTGCTCGAGCTTGGAGCAATCCGGCATAATCTCGGCACTCAAGGTATGCGTGAGATACGGGGATCTATGGCGCGGCAGGGAAATCCATTGGGAAGTGATCACCAATGCGCGGCATTTGCTCGATATCAGGGTCGCCAACACGCTCATCAGCATGTACGCCAGATGCGGCAGCGTCGCGGACGCTCGCTCGGTGTTCGAGCGATTGCCGTGCCATCACGTCGTTTCTTGGACGAATTTGATCCTGGGATACGCGGGAAACGGGGAAGAAGCTCTGGCGCTGGAAATCTTTCGCAGCATGAAGAAGAGAGGCGTTCTTCCGGAGGCTAGAACTTTTGTGGCTGCATTGGCAGCTTGTTCTGGCCTGGCTGTGAAGGAGGAAGGGATTTTAGTCGGGGAAAAGCTTGTGAAGCTCGCGAGCTTGGAGCAGGGAATGGATCTACACTTAGGGGCTTGCAAAAGGATGTTTGACGAGGACATCTTCGTGAGGAATACACTGATCGGGATGTATGCCAAGTGTGGAAGCTTGGTCGACGCGAAGATGGTTTTCAGTCGCATGGAAGCACACAGCGTTGTTTCCTGGAACGCTTTGATACTTGGCTACCTCGACAATGGCGAAGCTGGACTTGCGCTTGAGCTCTTTGCTGGGATGAAAGAAGAAGGGTGTGTTCCAAACGCGAGAACTTTTGCTGCGGTTCTCATGGCCTGTTCATCGTTGGGCTCTGAGAAGAACTTGGAAGAGGTGATGAGCATCCACTCGCTAGCAGCTTCGACGGCCGGAGGAATAGATATGTACGTGGACAATGCGCTGGTTGGAGCCTATGCCAAGTGTGGGAGCATGGGAAATGCTCGCGAGGTCTTCCAGAGAATGCCGTGCCACAACGTTGTTTCATGGACAACTATGATCCAGGCGGAGGCCGAGAGTGGCAGCTCCGAGGCGGCTCTGCGAACTTTTGAAGCCATGAAGATCGAAGGCTATGCTCCAAATGCCCGGACTTTCCTGGCGGTGTTGATGGCCTGTGCCAAACTCGTAGCGACGGAAGAAGTGATCGTGATCGACGAGAAGCCTCTCAAGAACAAGTGCTTGGAGAAGACAAAGGACGTTCACTTTTACGCCATGGAGTCACGCTGCGTGGACATCTTCGTGGCAAACTCGCTAGTCGACGTCTACGCGAGTTGTGGAAACATGGGAGACGCTCGAGCGGTGTTCGAGCGAATGCCTTGCCACAGCGTGGTCTCGTGGAACATCCTGATACAAGGCTACGCCGAAGCACACGGCTGCGAGGGCGAGGCTCTACTCCTCTTCGAAAGGGTGCCAAGTCCAGACTCGAGAACTTTTGTGGCGGTGCTCACGGCCTGTGCTGCTCAAGCCGAGAAAGAAGTTCCGGAGATAGAAGGCGAGGTGATTAAGCCGAGAAGCTTGAAGAATGGACAAGAGATCCATTCCCGAGCTGCGAAGCTAAGCATGGCCAAAGAACTCCACGTCGAGAACAACTTGGTCGACATGTACTCGAGGTGTGGCAGGATGTCCGACGCTTGGAAAGTGTTCGAGCTCATGAGCCATCGCAACGTTACGTCGTGGACGGCATTGATCCAGGGCTACGTCCAAGCCAACCAAGCTCGTCTCGCTCTCGAGCTCTTCCAGGAGATGACGATTACGTGCCAGCCGAACTCTCGGACTTTCCTCGCGGCTCTGGCGGCGTGCGGAGAGCTCGCTTGGCTGCCGAGTGCTCGCTTCACCCACGCCGAGATTTGCAAGCGCGGGCTACTCGACACGGACGCTCCACACTTCGTGGAGGCGAGCTTGGTGGACGCCTACGGCAAGTGTGGCAGCATGGTGGACGCGGAGATGGTGTTCGATGCGATGCAAGCGCCGACGACTGTTTCGTGGGGGGCTCTCATGGCTGGTTTCAGTCGCTCCTGCGATCACGGCAAGCTCCGGGTCTTCGGCCTGCTCGAGAGGATGGAACGCGAGGGTGGTGCTCCGAATGAAGTGATCTTCCTGGCGGTGCTCACGGCTTGTAGCCACTTGGGACTGATCGAGCGAGGGAGGCAGTGCTTCGAGGCGATGGTGGCAGAGCATGGGATCCAGGCGGGGATCAAGCACTACCAGTGCGTGGTGGACATGCTCGGGAGGAGCAACCGAGTGGAGGAGGCCGTGGAGCTGCTGGAGCGAATGCCGGTTCCTCCGGATGGGATCACTGGGAAGGCAATGCTGGCAGCCGTGTCAAAGTGGCTGGATCAGTCCCAGGAGGAGGAAATCTGCGCGAATGCAAAGATGAACTAGTTCTAAGCTCAAACAAAGTTTTTTTTTCCGATGGAAAATTGTGATCCTGAGGTGGATCAAAAAAAGTTTTTTACAGAGATGGATTGGATTGAATCAACTTTCTTTTTACTTTTTTTTTACTGGGAACTTACACAATCCATGATCACTATTCTAGTGCTAGGCTAGTCACTTTGCTCATTGAGGATCTTTGGAACTTTGATAAACACGCCCTCTTTCTCGCCAACCGAAGCAACCATCGAGTCCCTGTTCAAGCAAAGATCGATTTTTTTACTCATTCTCATCAAAGAAATGGATGATCACTTCTCCGTGAAATCCAAATGCTCGTCTCTCCTCAAGCCCCGTTGGCTTTCCACCTCATGACCAACCCGGATCGCGGGATCCACATTGTCAAGCTCAACCTCCTGGAGCTGGCCAAACCTTTGATCGTACAAACACTTGTCAAGAGCAAAGAAGTTCTCAGTGATTACCAGTCCACGACCCTCGAAATCTGGGGCCCGATCTCAGCAGCCTGCCAGTGAAAATCTCACGAGCTGGAAAAGCTGAAAAAGAAAAAGACCAAAAACTCCATAGCCAAGCTGTGGATTTACCTCGTCGGGAGTGAGCGATAGCCGCGCCTTCTCGCAAAGCTCGCCTACATTGGGAGGCTTGACGCACCCAAGAACTCCACGACGAGATTTGCGAGCTCCAATCCTCACAAAACTTCCGCCCCAGGTGAAACTCGTCGTGCTGCTCGCCATAGCCGCGAAGAACAAGTCCGACGCTCCAAATCGTGCCACGTCTCACATCTCAAAAGCTTTGATCTATCATCGATTCCCATCGATGTAAGCTTTGCTTTATCATCGAACCTTGACAGTACAATATGAGGTATCGTAGTGTTGGCGAATTATTTGGCAAGGAAAAGAGGTGGAAAAGGCTCAAGACGTGTTATTGGGCGACACCGCCACGCATTGCCGACGTGTTTGAGCACTTGTTAGTTTCTGGGGCTGTTCTCTCTTGAGGTTCATATAAATAAGCTTTCTTGTCGCAGCACTAGCTTTATCGGTGATGATACTTTGCGGTACTTCGAGGATTTCCTTGGCTCTGCCAAGATAATCGCCCAAAATCCTTGCTTTTGGGAGTTTTCTAATCGTCTCTCGCGAGCCAGCGAGAACTCATAGAAGTGTGAGAACTTGACAACGCATAGCGGGGTTATAGGGCTGATTTTGGAAGCTAAACCCTAGCTAAGTGCTTGTCTCTCTTCCAGCAGATTTTCCCTAGGGCACGGAGAGAAGAGATTGTGAGCGGCGATGAGCTTGTTCCATCCCCGGTCACCGCTGCGCTCGCAGCGCCTGGAGGAGAGCAACAAGAATGTGGATTTGGGGGATCCCGAAGTGGAGGAGGAGGACGACTCCGACGACGACGGTGATGTCTTCAACATCCCTCACAAGAAGCCATCGCTGGAGGCTCTCAAGCGCTGGAGGGTAAGTCCTATGGATGGATCGATCGAGTGAGATTTCTAGTTTTTCTTAGCTGGTTTTCGAAATATTTTGGAACGTTTGGTCTTCCCGTTGTGTTTGGTGGGAAGTGGGAGATGAAATTTTCTTGGGCTTTGGGTTCCTGCCTCTTTCCTTTCTTTCTTGGTGGAACGCTTTGTCTTCCGGGTCGATCACACGTTTCTTCAGGAAAGTGACATGCTGCTGCTCTTTTTGTTCTTGCTGGTCTTACACCATTTTCATTTCTTGCCTCTTTCCTAGACGTAACTTGCAAGCGCTTGACTCGTGATACTTTTTTTTTTTTTTTTTCCTGTAGAAAGCGACTTTGGTGCTCAATGCTTCGAGACGGTTTCGGTATACATTGGATTTGAAGCGCCAGGAGCAGCTACCGTCCGTGAATCGCTTCCGGATTGGCACGCACGCACTGAGGGCTGTCCAGAAATTCAAGGACGCAGCTACAAAAGTAGACCATCCTCCTCCCAAAGGTTATGGAGTTGGACCCGAGAAGCTTGTGCAGCTCGTGCAAGACAGAGATAACGATGGACTTCAGGCTCTCGGCGGTGTAAGTTTTCTGTTTTGTTTTTTTTTTGTTGGTATGTCATTGAAAAGATGTCCTCGTATTTTTGTCTTGAATAACCAGATTACTGGGCTTGGAACGGCTTTGCACGTCAATTTGGAAAAAGGCATTGAACCCGATGAGGAGAGTGTCCAGCATCGGCGCGAGGCTTTTGGTGCCAACAGCTATCCAACCAAGGCTGGGAAATCATTCTGGGTATTGCCAAAGATTTGAACTGCTGGTTCTGATACTTTCCGTTTTGCTTTTCCTAAAGGTCTTTGTGTGGGAGGCTGCTCAAGATACCACCCTTATAATTTTGATGGCTTGCGCTGTGGCATCACTCGCGGCAGAAATGAGCAGTGATGTACATTTTTCTAGCGCGAACATTTTCGTCGAAGGCTGTATTGACCTTTTGCTTGTAGGTGAAAGAGGGATGGTATGACGGGGCAAGTATTGGCTTTGCTGTTCTGGTCGTCATCTTTGTTACAGGTATGAGCGTGTTACTTCATCTCGTTTTGACTCGTGGCTTATCACAGCATTTAGCGACTACCGACAATCGCTTCAGTTTCGGAGTCTGAGTCAGGAAAAACGGAACATACAAATTCAGGTGAACACCTGTTTCTTTTTTTGTTCTGTCCGCTTACGCAGTTAAATCACAGGTTGTTAGAGGGGGAAGAAGGTTTACGACTTCCATTTTCGACTTGGTGGTCGGTGACATTGTACCTCTAAATATTGGAGATCAGGTGCGGTACTTTTTTACTTTTAACTTTCCTTAAAGCTCCTCTTTACTAAAGATACTTTAGGTGCCGGCGGATGGGGTCCTTGTTTCTGGTCACTCTCTGTCGATCGACGAGTCGAGTATGACTGGTGAAAGCGAACCGGTAATACAAAGTTTCTTGCTTCTTACACTTGAGACATTGTATTTGCCAGGTTCATGTAGATGGAAAAAGTCCCTTCCTGCATTCCGGCTGCAAAGTGGTCGACGGTTATGGTTCTATGCTGGTAATCTCATTTCCCGTTCTTCAATCTACACAGATATGCTTTACACATTTTGTTCTTTCTACAGATAACTGGTGTGGGAATCAATACCGAGTGGGGTCAAGTAATGGCAACACTTGACGATGACTCCAGCGAAGAAACGCCTTTACAGGTTTGCTATTCTTTAATGTAGCGCTAATGCTAATACTCATGGTTTAGGTTCGCCTCAATGGTATTGCAACATTTGTTGGTAAAATTGGTCTCTCGGTGGCAGTGTTGGTTTTTGTCATGCTGTTTGTACGGTAAGACTCTCAACTGTTCAGACTGGAGAGAAGTTGCTTATTACGGTGTTCTACAGGTATTTTGTGACGGACTTCCGGCAGGCCACTGGTCCAGCTAGGAGGTCAAAAGTTGTCTTCAGGAACATTGTGGACATTCTTTCTATTGCGGTATGTTTAAACTAGAGCTTGAAACTCTCACAGCTTTTATGTGTTTACAGGTTACCATCGTTGTGGTTGCTGTTCCAGAAGGATTGCCGCTTGCAGTAACACTAACGTATGTACTGATCTCATGTTTGTGTCTATCTTACTTACGTTTCCTTTATTTTTACTCTCTAGCCTTGCTTACTCTATGAAGAAAATGATGGCTGATAAGTCCCTGGTAAGTCCCCCAAGTGTTTTGTAAGTACGGTTTTGATGCATGTTTGTTACAGGTCCGTCATTTGGCTGCCTGCGAAACAATGGGATCTGCAACGACTATCTGTAGTGATAAGACCGGAACCCTGACCTTGAACCAGGTATGATTGTTATGACGGGAAAAGTTATGGTGTTGACTTACCTTGTAGATGACTGTTGTCCAAACTTGGATTGGCGGAGGGTCTTTGGAAGCAGAAGCAGCGAATTCTGTCGGCGGAGAGATATCAAAGTGCATTATAGAAGGCATTGCCGAAAACTCCAGCGGGAGCGTTTTTGTTCCAAAGGTATTTAGCTATTTTCTTGTTGTATTGGGATGTTGAAATGTCGTTATAGGATGGAGGCGATCCGGAAGTCACAGGTAGTCCAACCGAAAAGGCCATTCTTGGCTGGGGATTAAAAGTATGTGAAGCTTTTACGTCGTCCTTGTCGATACCGTTCCCTGACATGTATATTTTTGATAGGCTGGCATGAATTTTGAGGAAGTGAGGTCTTCAAATACTGTCATGCATGTGGAAACGTTCAATTCGACGAAGAAGCGTGCTGGTGTTGCATTCAAGGTACTTTCGATGATCATTTCTACACGGTCGGACGTTTATATGTTCTTGGTTTACAGCGTAAAGATGGAAATGCCTATGTTCACTGGAAAGGAGCCGCTGAAATTATATTGGACCTTTGCACCAAGTGGATGGGTAGTGACGGGTCGGAGAACCAATTGTCAGAAACAAAGGTCCGTGTTCTGAATTTTTATTGTTTGTGCCTTTGATGGGGAGCCTTTCTATGCAGAAAGTGGAGATACAAAATGCAATCGGAGACATGGCTTCGAGGAGCTTGCGTTGTGTTGCTCTTGCTTATCGACCCATCTCTGCCAACCAAATACCAGATGAATCCGAGTGGGAGAGCTGGAAAATTCCTGAAGACAATCTTGTTCTACTTGGTATCATGGGTATAAAAGATCCATGTAGGCCTGGTGTTGATGGTGCTGTGCGCCTGTGTCAGAAGGCTGGAGTAAAGGTACAAATCTTTGATTTGTGGAAACTTTGAGCGAGTTTGTTTGGCAGGTTCGCATGGTTACTGGTGACAACCCGCTGACTGCAAGAGCAATTGCTCAAGAGTGCGGTATATTGTCTCCTGGTGGTCTGGTAGTCGAAGGGAAAGACTTCCGCAGTTATACTGATGAGGAGAGGCTGGAACTTGTACCTAAGCTTGAAGTACGTTTCCATGTTTCCCTTCAATCTCGGTAGATTTACTCTCTTGTTTCTTTCAGGTAATGGCGAGGTCGTCACCAATGGATAAGCTGCTACTTGTGAAAACCCTTCGCAGCATGAACGACGTTGTTGCAGTCACAGGAGACGGGACAAATGACGCTCCAGCGTTGCACGAGGTGGGTTTGGCGGTAATCATCGTAGTCGCATTTTCTGATGATAAACTGTTATCAGGCTGATATCGGTCTTTCAATGGGCATCCAAGGGACCGAGGTGGCCAAAGAAAGCTCAGACATTATAATTCTGGATGACAACTTTGCATCTGTTGTCAAGGTAAGATAACAGCTTTTGGTGCGAGTCTGAAGGATCGAAATTCTTGCAGGTTGTACGCTGGGGTCGGTCCGTGTATGCCAATATTCAGAAGTTTATCCAGTTCCAGCTGACTGTAAATGTTGTTGCGCTGGTTCTCAACGTCGTGGCCGCAGCAAAGTCGAGCCAGGTTCCTCTTACTGCTGTGCAGGTGAGTCGTTATCTCTCGTTTCATCTGTTCAGTTTATAAGTCGTTTTCTACAGCTGCTTTGGGTAAATCTTATTATGGATACTTTGGGAGCGCTCGCTTTAGCCACTGAACCACCTACAGACGACTTAATGGATAGGCCGCCCGTGGGACGCAGGTTAGACACGGGTGTCTTCTACTCGAGTTCTTAATGCGTGCATTTGTTTTGTTTCAGGGAGCCCCTTGTCACGAATATAATGTGGAGAAATATTTTCGTACAGGTATTCCGTCCTCTTTTGCTCTGGTACAGCTTTAATTTGCTGAACTCTCATGTAAATGACAGGCGATTTACCAATTGTCTGTTCTTTTCACGTTGTTTTTCGGCGGTTTGAAAATCTTAAAACTCCATGGACCAGACGGCAACCGCAAACTAAATACCATCATCTTCAACTCGTTTGTTTTATGCCAAGTGAGTATCTCGTTTTTGCCTTGGTCATTCATGTCGTTATCCTTTCTTTGCAGCTTTTCAACGAGGTCAATTCGCGCAAGCCAGACAAGCTCAATGTTTTCTCTGGCTTTTTCAGAAACCCGTTGTTCTGTGGGGTTGTGTCCGTGACTGCTGTGCTCCAGGTGTGTTGACAAGACTATTCCTTGCAGAAAACTCTCATCTCTTTTGTGCTGGCAGGTTATTATAGTCTTCTTCCTGGGAAAGTTTTTTAAGACAACGCGCTTGGGCTGGAACCATTGGGTGCTCTCGATCGTCATCGGCTTTCTGAGGTACAGCTCCACTGCTCGCATTCGAGTTGTTTAACTCGTCTTAATCTGCTGCTGCTGCTTTCAGTCTTGTGGTTGGATTTTTCGGGAAGCTCATTCCAGTACCGAAGAAGCCGATCATCACAACACACAAGGTTAAGAAGAAGCGAGCGCGTTCCAGTAAAGGTAGAGAACGTTTTGTGGAATCTCCCAAGTTTTTTAGCTTCGTTTTCTTCACCAGGATCGAAGAAGCCCCACGATCAAGAGGATGGACACGAGCTAGTCGAGAGAAATGCTTCCAACGAAGTATGACACGATCCATTCCCCACTGTTTTTTATCCATCTTCCTCTCTTTCGTTCTTAAATTTTGTTGTTCCACTAAAGGGTAAGCTGTGAAGAAAAAATATTCTAGTTTAAGCACGAGTATCTTCTTATCCTGTTTGTTGTGGTTTCCTAGTGTCCACGTGGCACGCGATCCAACGGCCACCCTGCCACGAGCATATACTCCTAGAAAGAACTTGGCATCTAAAGGAAGGCACGGCGCTTTGATTGCCCGCTGGAAGACGGACGATCGATCCATGGCACCGGATTGCAGCGACACCAGCGACGACGAGGAAGAATCGACAACGAGCATCAGCAGCGGCCAGAGATCGGGTCTAGGAGGATTAGATTCGTCGCTAGGATCAGCAGTAGCCCCGGGGGACGACGAAGTCCCGCGGATCCTCGCGTTGCTCGCGTCTGTTCTAGAGCGGCTGATAGCTAGGAACGAGCAGTACATGAGAGGCAGTAGCAATCGCGGCTCCAGCAGCGGGAAATACCTCGGCATCGCCACGGCGAGGGGCGCCAAGAATGTTTTCTCTGCCAGGAGTTGTTCGTCGCCGGGGATGGTCTTTAGCGGGCTCAAGGCGCCCAGCATTAGCATCGAGAAGTATCTGGAAAGGATCTTCAAATACACGAATTGCTCCCCGGCGTGCTTCGTTGTAGGTTATGTGTACATTGATCGCCTCTCTCACAAGCACCCGGATCTGCCCATAACGCCTTTGAATGTTCACAGGTTGCTCGTTACCAGCGTCATGACCGCCTCCAAGATCCTCGATGACGTGTAAGAAAAGATCTCTCTCTCTCTCTCTCTCTCTCTCTCTCGCTACATCTCTCGATCCCTTCCTATTCTTCTCGAAATTTCAGGTCTTCCTCTCCCAAATATCGATCGATTCGATTCCATTCCTGCTCAATGTGGTGATCGAATCGATTCCATTCCTGCTCAATGTTTTGTCACTTCGTTTGGTGATCGAATCTATTCCATTCCTGCTCAATGTTTTGTCACTTGGCTCGATGTTTCAAAGTTTCATCCTCGAGCCAAGGGACAAAACATTGAGCAGGAATGGAATCGATCCAGATCGAGATCCAGATGAGAGTATTGATTTTCTTGGGGACTTCTCCATGTTCTTTCTTTGAAATCTCTTCGCATCTCCGATGGTTCATCCCTTCTTCTCTCTCGATCGATCTCTCTAGTTCCTTTTTGACATCCTTCTCTCTCTGTGTGTGACGATTTGATCGATCTTTCTCTCCTCACAGGCACTTCAACAACGCATTCTTCGCGCGCGTCGGGGGGATCAGCACCAGCGAGGTGAACAAGCTGGAGCTGGAATTCCTCTTTCGTCTGGATTTCCGGCTGACCGTCACGGTCCAGGAATTCGAGAGCTACTGCAGCTATCTCGATCGCGAGGCGCGCCTCCCCAGCGCCAGGCCCGATCATCATCACCGATCAGGCTTCCCGGCATTCGAATCGCCGCGATCCAATCCCAAGCCGCCGCTAGTCTTCTCCTTGTTCCAATGGAAGCCCTAGAAAACAGAGCAAGTAAAATTTGTTTTTATTTTTTGAAACGCAATGCCATGGATTGGATTGGATATTTAGGGTTCTAGGCGACGCCGGCCTTGGCGAGGTATGTAATGCGGCTCTCTGATCGATAGCAGCTATGAATCTCCTACGCAAGGAGAGATCGCAGCGCTCTCTGCTGCGAAATTCCGTGCCGGCCGCCCGGCCGCAGGGATTCGAGTCGCTGGGAGCGTCTCTCTCGCTCGGCAACACCGCAAATTTCACTTTCCTGGCCAGCAGCGGCGTCGGCAAGGATGAATCCAGCTCCAGGCCGGGTGTTCGGTGTGGCGGCAGGGAGGAATCGCTCGAAATAAGCTCCAGATCGAGCGTCCGGGTCAGTGGCACGAAGAAATCCGTCGATGGCAGTGACATTGGAAGATTTGTGGCGGTTCTTAGCGTTAGCAAATGGACGGGTGGCATCAACAAGGAGCTCCAGCACAGAGTTTTGGAGAAGTTTAATGGCTTGATACGTCGGCATTGTGACAGGTTGCCACTGGCTTGCGTCGTCCAGCCGGGGACAGGGAATTGGGATTGCGGTGGTACCAACGTCAAAGACAATGCCTGTCGTGGAATGGTCGCTCCGGACCCGCACAAGAGAGTTCTCATACTTATGAGCGACACAGGCGGTGGTCATCGTGCTTCTGCCGAAGCCATCAAAGCTACGTTTGAGCTCGAGTACGGGGACGAATATATTGTAAGTGGATGCTTGCTTGATTGCTTGCTTGCTTGCTTGCTGGTGATCCTACTCACTCTCTTCTTTTTTCTGCAGGTAAACATCGTGGACTTGTGGAAAGATCACACGCCTTGGCCGTTTAATCAGGTTCCCAGGACTTACAACTTCCTGGTGAAGCACGAGACGCTCTGGAAGTTTACGTTTCATGGGACCAGGCCGCGGCTTATCCATCAGACGAACTTCGCTGCAACTGGAATATTTATTGCTCGGTAGTATGTCTTTATTTTTCATGGGACCTGACGCTTTAGTTCGTGGCAGGGAGGTGGCAAAAGGGATTTTAAAACATAAGCCGGATGTTATTGTCAGCGTCCACCCGCTTATGCAGCACATTCCTCTCCGGATCTTGAAGACGAGAGGTTTACTCGACAGGATTCCGTTCACCACGGTCATCACAGACCTGAATACCTGTCATCCTACATGGTACGTTGCCTTGCTCCATAAGAAATAACTGTCGGGTCTCCAATATAGCTTCTTTCAGGTTTCACAAGCTGACCACTGTGTGCTTCTGTCCTTCGAAAGAAGTTGCACAGAGAGCACTTAAGGCTGGCTTGAAACAATCTCAGATAAGAGTGCATGGCTTACCCGTTCGGCCTTCATTTAGCAAGCCTACCCGTTCGAAGGTAAGTCTGGCTGTTCGTTCCGGTTCCTTTGCACTTAATTCAAGGAATTCGCAGGATGAGCTCCGGAGAGAACTAGGAATGGAAGAAGATCTCTCCGCCGTACTGCTGATGGGGGGTGGCGAAGGGATGGGTCCCGTTGAAGAGACCGCTCGAGCACTTGGTGACGCTTTGAAATGTCCGCATTCAGGCAAACCTTTGGGCCAGCTGATTGTGATCTGCGGGCGAAACAAACGGCTCGCGAACAGGCTCAATGCTGTGGAATGGTCTATACCAGTTCAGGTGAGCGTGTCTCATTCTTTTGTCGTTTCAAACGTCATTTGGTGGTCGCAGATAAGAGGATTCGAAACGAACATGCAAGAGTGGATGGGAGCTTGTGATTGCATCATCACGAAAGTATGTATCTTGTGTGCTGTTCATATCCGCAAGTTCTTGATTCTTGACACGCATGTCTGTATCAATAGGCCGGCCCAGGGACAATTGCAGAAGCTATGATTCGAGGTCTGCCTGTGATAATCAACGATTACATCGCGGGCCAGGTAAGTGTCGAGTTCTTAAAACCTGTTAGTGAACTCTCTTCTAAGAGGAGCTTTTCTCTGCAGGAAGTTGGCAACGTTCCATACGTGGTGGACAACGGCGTTGGCAAGTACTGCGAGAATCCAAACGAGATTGCGCTGACTGTGGCCGAGTGGTTTACAACCAAGAGAACAGAGCTGGCTCAAATGGCCGAGAACGCATGGAAGCTTGCTCGTCCTGATGCCGTGTTCAGAATTGTGCATGATCTTGCCGATCTTGCTCATCAGAAGGCCCTTTTGACACAGCCTCAGGCGCTGGCTTTCTAGCGAGACTGAGATTGAGCTGTGGGAAATTTTCGAAAATCGAATTCAGGCGTCGAGGTATCCTACTTTCTGCATCGGGTTTTTGTCTTTGCTCTCATTTGGATTGCAGGAGATCAGAGGTTTTTGTTCTTCAGCGCGAGGTGGGCTTTTAGTTGTCCCCTCGACGTCCCAAAGTGGGTTTCTAACTAAGCATAAGGTGCAAACTTTCGCGAGCGATGTGGCTCCAATGTCATGGCGACGCCGCTGTTTCTTTCGAGGCTTCTGTACGTTACATCTGGGAGTTGAGGGAGATGCGACGCTACCCGCAGGTACTCTGAAGCAAATCCTCTCTAGTCTAGAAACTGAGATAGTTGGCACCGGTGTTCTCTCCAGTCTCTTGTGGGCTTGCATCAACTCGAGAGCATTGGCCCAAGGCAAACGCGTCCACCAGCTAGCCCAACAAAAAGGTGGCGAGACGGAGAAGGCTCTAAGCATCCAGCTCGTCCAGATGTATCTCAAGTGTGGGAGCTTGGCCGACGCCAGAGAGGTGATCGATCGAGTAAGGATCGGGGATGTTGTGACTTGGACGAGATTGCTCGCAGCATATGCCCGGAACGGGGATTGCGAGCGAGCAATCCAGGCTTACCAGGAAATGCTCCAGGCCGGGGTGACGCCCAACAAGATCACCATCGTGACGCTGCTCAACGCTTGCGTGGAGCATTCGTGCCTCCCCAACACTGCCCAGATTCGCTCCAACGTTTTCGAGATGGGCTTTCTCTCCGACGCCGTCGTCGCCACCGTGCTCGTCAGCATGCACAGCCGGTTTGGGAGAATGGAGGACGCTTGCGACGCGTTCCGGGAGATCCAGAGGCACGACGTGGTCTCGTGGAACGCCATGCTCTGGGTGTACGCCGAGAATGACTACAGGGAAGAGGCGATGCTTCTCTTCCGGGAAATGCAGCTAGAGGGAAGTTTGCCGAGCAAAGTTTCGTTCCTGGCGGTTTTCAACGCGGTTGCTGCTGCCGACGACTCTCTAGAGGCCAGGGCGATGCATGGCTTGTTCTTGAGGAGTGGCATCGAGCAGGACTTGGCACTGGGAAACGCCATCGTCGACATGTATGGCAAGTGTGGCTGTCTCGACGAAGCGCTGGATGTTTTCCGCTCCATGCCAGAGCGGGACATCATCTCATGGACTGCCATGATCGCTGCTTTCGTCCAGTGCGGTGCCATGCTCGGGGCACTGGATTCTTTCAGGTTGATGCAACTCCAAGGAATTCGTCCAAACAAGGTGACTTTCCTCACGGTTTTGAACTCGGGGGAGATCCAGGTTCCACTCGAGGAAGCCGGGAGGATCTATGGCTACGTTCTCGAGTCAGGTCTGGATTTGGATACTGTTCTGGCCACTGCACTAATAACGATGTTTGGTAACTGCAGGGACGCTACAAGCGCAAAACTGGTGTTTGATAGAGTCGAGAGACGAGATGTGGTCCTATGGACTGTTATCGTTGCAGCGTACGCTCAATGTGGCGACTTTGCAAAAGCCATGGAGCTCTTCTACGCAATGCAGCTGGAAGGATTTCGTCCCAACAAGGCCAGCTTGATCATCGTTGTGGACTCGCTGGGGAGCTTGAGAGCTCTCCAGGAAGGGAGACGGATCCACGAGAGAATCATGGAAGAGGAGCTGGACAGGGACTACGTGATCCTCGGAAACGCGCTCATCAACATGTACCTGAGGTGTGGAGACGTCGCCAGCGCCTGGAAGTGCTTCCGGAGGATGCCAGCTCGCGACGAATCGTCATGGAACGTCATGCTCGCGGCTTGCAGCGATGATCTTCGGCTGGTCGTGACGATGGTTGGCGAGATGCAGCAGCAGGGACTGTCCCCGAGCAAGATCACGCTGCTGGCGCTCATCAACTCGTGTGTCACGGCAGCCTCGACGCTCCCGGAGGCCCGGAGAGTTCATGCCCGCGTGGTGGAGGCCGGGCTGGAGCGTGAGAAATCCATCGCAAACGCGCTGGTGGACATGTACAGCAAGTGTGGCAACTTGGAGGCCGCGAGCAGCGTCTTCTTCTCGAGCCGGCTGTTTGAGCTCGACGACGCTGTCGCGTGGAACGCCCTGGTGCTGGGACACACGCAGCACGGCAGCTGGAACGAGGCTCTGGGATTGTTCTGGGCGATGCAGCAGCAAGGAGTGAGTCCCACGGAGGTGAGCTTGGTGGGAGTGCTAGCGTCTCTCAGCCACACCGGGATGATCCAGGAAGGGTGCCGAGCCTTTGGATCGATGGAGGTGGACTATGGGATTGGTGCCGCGGCGGAGCACAGGGGATGCGTGGTGGATCTCTTGAGCAAGGTTGGATGGCTGGAGGAGGCCGAGGAGTTTATGAGAAGTGGATGTGGATCCCGGGAGGATTGCGTGGGATGGCTGACGTTGCTGGGGGCTTGTAACTTGCACGGGGACGTGGAGAGAGGATTGCGAGCAGCGTTTCGGCTTTTGGAGCTGGATGGTATCAACAGTGCTGCTCATGTCATCCTCTCCAACTTGTTTGCTCCTACTCAAGAAGAAGGGGGTGACAATTATTTAAGGGGAAGAGTTGATACATACTACCAGAAATCTATCAAGATATCTGGGTTCCATTACAGTACTTTCCATTGAGCGTTTTGGCAGCTGCAAACACCAAACCATGAGTCAAATATGTGAAAGAAACATCATGACAGTATTGAAATGTTTGTTTACCTGCTTTTGCAAGAGTGGCGCTAGAATCATCCCCAAGGGCCGTCCAGAACCCATATCCTCGTATTCCTTTGTTTTTCACATAGTTCACCTTCCTCGTCACTGACCACGCATCGTCGTAGCCAATCCAGGTAGTCCCACTGTACGCATAAGTGGAAACCGTGGTATCATTGTGAACCACGGTAGCACCACTGGACGCCAAGAAGCTCACAATCTGGGCAAACGTTGGGTTCTCCGGTAGTGCGCTTGAGACTCCATTCGAAGGCGCTCCAATCCCATGGTTTGCTGCGTTGACCAGCTGCCAATTGTAACCATAGGCGGGAATTCCGTATACCACCTTTGACTGGGTCAGCGACTGCAGCCACTGGGTGATGCCATAGTCGCCGTTGACCGTGGGGTTTGACGGGTCGTACAGTGGCGCGGGGACGTTGGTGGTGGTCTCGAATGACGGCCCGTGGAAATCGTAGGCCATGACGAGGATCCAGTCCAGGTTTGCTTGGATGGACGCCACTGGGTACGTTGCGCCGCCCATCCAGGCCGGCTGTGGATTCGCGTAGAATGTAGCTGCGGCGAGGAGCATACCCGAAGGAGCTTTGGCGCGCCACTCTTGGAAGAGAGCCCCAAGATTGGTCATCTGCGAGGCGTTGTTTGGATGCTCCCAGTCCAGATCAAGGCCATCGAAGCCATACTTCTTAGCGAGCGTAATCGTGCTGTTGATGAACGTGGCCCGCGAAGATGGCGAGCTCACCATGGCAGCAAACGCTTCCTTGTCGCTGCTGCCACCCCCGATCGACAAGAGGGTCTTGACGTTTGGATTCTTGAGCTTGACGGTGGAGGCAAAGGACGAGATCTTGGAGTTGCCGGGATCCAAGGAAGCCGACGGAGCCACCGTGAAGGTCGTGGGGTTTAGATCCACGAATGCGTAGAGCAAGTGCGTGTAGAGGCACGAGTTGATTTGGGATGCCGGCGAGGAGTCAACGTACCAGTAGCCAAGTTTGACCGGGGTGATCGGTGTGGAAGTGCAAGCTCCGCTCTGGCAACCCTGGCCGCAGTATGAAGATCCAGTGCCGCAGAAGCCATATTGGCTGCAGCAAGAGGAAGAGGGAGAACAAGCCGCAAAGTTTGCCTGGATGCCACAGATCTCTTGATTGCACTGGCTCTGGCAGCCAGATCCACAATAGGCTGTCGTTGTGCCGCAGTAGCCATACTGGCTGCAGCACCGGCCTGGTGGACAAGATGCAAATGATGCTTGGGCACCACAATCCTGAGATACTGTGAATTTTCCTGCTGACAATGTTAGAAGCAACACTAGAATGACTGTTGCCATGTTTTGATTTTTCCTTTGCCCTTGGTGATCTTAAATACTATATATTTATCAAATAGACTTTTCTACTAAATCACGGCGGTGCATGTGTAAGGGAAGCAACAGCTTTGAAAAACTCCTCCAGGATTTATTGGTGAGCAACTGCCAGCAAATCCGACGCAATCTTCTTTTAATCCAGAAGACATAATGAAGATAATCACTAGCATCAACACGGAAGCGTGTCTCCACTCCATTGCAAGTTCTTCAAGACTCACAAGAGTTTTCCAATCAAAAGGTTGGTTTTGGGTGTTGTTTTTTCCTCCATAGAGATAGTGACTGGAGAGTTAGCTTGGATTTGGTGTTGACAAATTATCAAGGAGTCCAATGGATTACTTTACTGCTTCCTTTATTCCATGAGAACTTTGGTAGACAATACAGCTAACATGCTAGATGTCACAAAAAATGGGAATCGCCAAAGCTTAAGAGAGACTAAAAGGCTGTTTGATATCTTTCCAAGAAAGAACTTGGTGTTGTGGACTGCTCTCATATCCGCATATGCCCAATCAGGGCATCTCCAGCAAGCCAAAGCTCTGTTTGAGAAAATCCCACAGACAAATCTTGTGACTTGGACAGCCATGGTATATGCCTATGCTCAGGGAGGGCATCTTGATAGCGCAAGGGAAACCTTCGATCAAATGCCTGAGAGGAATGTTATTTCGTGGACTGTTATGCTTGAAGCTTACTCCAGCCACGGCCATCTCTTGGACTGCCAAGAGCTCTTCCAGGAAATGCCACAGCGCAACTTGGTTTCCTGGAATGCAATGCTAAATGCGTTTGTCAAATGTGGGGATAGCCTTGAAGATGCGGTTTTCTGTTTCAATAAAATGCCACAACACTCCTTGGTCTCATTTACAACTATGCTCGCTGCGTATACCCAATTCGGGCATTTTCAAAGATCCAGAGAAACGTTTAACAGCATGCCTGTATGGGATCTAGCTGCTTATAACGCATATTTAGTGACATTTCAAAAACAAGGAAATTTAGAAATGGTCAGCACTGTGTACCAAAACATGATGGAAAAAGACGTAGCTTCTGTAAATATTCTTCTTACAGCATATGCCCAGGAAGGGCTCATTAAAGAAGCAATAAGCATTTTTAGAAAGGCCTTAACCAAGGACATAGTCTCGTGGACAACAATCGTGGCCGTCTATGGAACAGCTAGCTACGTTGACCGAGCAAGAGTTGTGTTTGACCAAATTTCTCAGAAAAATATAGTGACCTGGAATGCATTGCTGGCATCGTATGCCCAATATGGGCATTCCACACAAGCAATCTTCCTTTTGGATACACTCAAGCTCTACTTGTCTCCCAACGAGGCTTGTTTTGCCTCTGGACTTCTGGCATGGAAGCACACTGGAAAGATTGGGGCAGCAATGCTATGTTTCCATTCCATGCAATACGACTTTGGCTTGGTACCTACAAAGCAACATTACTGTTGCGTGGTTGATCTCTTGGCAAGGGGAGGATTTGTGGAAGATGCATGGGATGTTGTTTTAAATATGCCATTCGAGCCCAGTGGATTGGAGTGGTCATGCTTGGTAGGCTTGCCAGATCCCAAGTTTGCCTTCGTCGCAGAGTATGCAAATAAGGTTGTGGAGCTAGAGCCAAAATGTGGAGCTGCATATGCCATGCTTGCTAGAAATTTTGCATTGGCGGCCCCTTGATTATTCGATGCAATGCTCTTCCAATTTTTCTTAAAAATTTGATGCTCGCCAGCGTTTTGTCAACAGAAAACCGGTAAAGCAAAGAATGTGAAGAGGTTTTGCTTTCTTCTTTTATGTTGTTCAGTTTCCTTTATAACCGCTCGTTCTTTTCCTATCTCCCTCTCCAAATGTACCCATCGATTAGCACTGATGGCTTGGGCAGGGAGTTCATTTGGAGCTTCAAGTTAGACACCATGACAATCGCGGTTTTCTTCTACTTCTTCTTCTTCTCCTTCTCCAGTGTTGTCCTTTCCCATGCACGGCAATTTCCAACCAAGCGATTTCATTTGGATCAAAATCTTACCAGCATGTTTGACACCACGTCTTTCTCTCAACACTTTTCAGTGGTGTGGGGATTTGATCACAGCGAAGTTTCGGAGAACGGTATGGAAGTCACACTCAAACTAGACAGCACATCAGGTACATATTAAGTTCTCTCTCTCTAAAAGACTGATTTATCCATGGCTCAGGTTCCGGGATCAAGTCTCACAACAATTACACGTTTCGCTCCTTCAACTCGGCCGTGAAACTTCCGGCAAACTATTCCTCTGGAGTTTACACACGATGAGATTGACTTAGGATTTTTGGGAGCAGCATCTGGGGATCTATACATCATCCAGACAAACATCTACGGCAATGGCAGCACGTCCACTGGAAGAGAGCAAAGGTTCAAGCTATGGTTTGATCCCACTGCCGACTTCCACAACTACAGCATCTTTTGAACTCCTTATCACATTGTGTAAGTCTTCATTGAGAAAGAAAATGTGCTATTTTTCTTATAATCACTCACAGGTTCTTTGTGGATGATATACCCATTCGAGAAGTTCTCAAGTCGGAAGAACTGGGAGAAGACTATCCTCTGAAGCCAATGAACGTTTTCGCTACAATCTGGGATGCTTCTCAATGGCCACAGATGGTGGAAGATCTAAAGTAGACTACTCATATGCTCCATTTGCCACCGAGTACTCCAACTTGATCCTCAGTGACTGTCACTCGTCAACTTTAGCTGAGGAGTGTCCATCTGGAGCTTCGAGCGTGGTTCCCCAAGCATTGCTCAGTGAATCACAACACCATTTGCTACCGTGCTAACTATATGATATACGACTACTGTGAAGATAAATCCAGATATCCACAGGCTCTTCCCGAGTGTCGATCTGGATAGATCATGTGATGTAAAACTTTTATTAAATTATTTCATAAAATTGGCCACTCTCAAGACGAGCAGTTCTGACCTTTCCAGCCGATTCTTCGGTTCTCAACGTCATAAAACACCAGCTTATCCTTTAAAACAATCTCTGCAAAGTTTCAATCCTAATCAGAATTAAGTTTCATATGAAAAACTTTACCTCCAAATATTGTCAGGCCATCAGCTGATGACCATGCGTAGCAGTATCCATTGCGCTTCTAAAATATCACTAAGAACTGGCATTAACTAGCAGAATAACGAACCTTTTTATACTCTGCCATCACCAGATAATTGTCTGGTTTTAGTTTCATTGTTGATCCTCCGCTGAAAGTAAGCGTCACATTTGGAAATGATGTTTCCATAGTTAATCTACACAAGAGAGAAACAAATGAGTTTAATTGTTCTTTCCATTCTCATTCTACCCTGATTTAAGGTAGAAGCATTCAAGTCCTTCCAGCTTAGGTCCCAGCTTTGCTGTAGTTAGGCTCTTAATCTGCGCATCATTAAACTCTGATAAAAGAGCCTTCTAGTATACTTACCTCCTGGAAAAGCATTCGGTTTGCTTTAGTCGTGAGAAGTACGAAAGTCGTGCCACTGTCAATGATAACACCA